CAGCTCATCTACTCTACAGCAACGGGGGACTTGGTGTAAAAACACAGCTTTGTGACCCTGCAAAATTATGGTGTGGAATACGTGAATGCACGCTAGTGAGTTGGTCTCCATGAGACTCAGACACAGCACTTTATTTCATGAAACTTGTTTCTTCTGCATCCCTGGTTTGCAGACCAAGAGACTGAGGGCTTTGAACACTTGCCCAGATCCTCTAGGTGGGAGGAGCTGGGATTTGAACCCAGGCAGCCGGGGTCCAGACTTCAGGCTCCTAAGCTGTAGGAGTCTCTGACTGCTGTTGTAACAAATGACCACACACTTGGTGGCTTAAAATAATACCTATGTATTATCTTGCAGGGCTGGAGGGCTGAAGTCTGAAGTCAAGGTGTGGGCAGGGCTGTGTTCCTTAGGGGGGCTCCAACCGGGGGAACTGGGAATCCACTTCCTGCCCTTTTGGGCTTCTAGAGCCCATTGCACCCCTTGACTCAGGGGGCCAGCTGAACCTCACAGCACATCCCTTATACATGTTTCCCTGTGGCTCTCCTTGTCTGACTGGGACCCTGATGCCTCCCTCTCATAAGGACCCTGGTGATGACACTGGGTCATCCAGGATCACCTCCCATCTCAGTCACATCTGCAAAGTGCCCTTTGCCGCTTCATGTGACATCCTCGCAGGTTCTGGGGATCAGGACGGGGACTTCTTTGGGAGCCTTGATTCTGCGCACCCCTGCACGCACATGGAGTAAAGCACCGACTTCGATGGTCACGTCCTTCCCTGCTGTAACCTTCTTGGCTCCCACAGGCATTAGCACGAAGTCCAACTGTTGTCTTGAGGCTTCTGCCAGCTGCTCCCCCACCCTCCCTGCCCCCCCCTCTCGGCATCAGCCAGCCCTGCAGGGGGACTGGCAGGCTATTCTGGGCTTCTCCGCGTGCTCATATAACTTGCTCAGTCTGCAATGCCTCCTCACTTCCTTGTCTGGCTGGGCTATTTATTCATCTGGGCCCCGTTATACTTGTTTCTGTTTGCAGGAAGCCTTGACCCCTGCCCGATTCTCTACCCGTCATCCCATGCCTGTGGCCCCCACTGAGAACTGTCTGCTGAGCTCCAAAAGGGGCTGTGGACACTCTGGCTGAAAGGGGGTTTGGGACAGGGGAGACAATGACATCTCTGGAGCTGCCCACATGGGTGCACAGGTGCAGTGCTAATCTGAGGTCCCTCTTCAAGGTTCAGGGCAGCCCACGAAAGGTTAGGCTGTGCTGAGCCACTCACACCATTATCACATGTGTGATACTCAGTGGCCTCATGGGGACCTCAGTTTACATGTTAGGACACAGAGGCGAAACCACCTACCCAGGGGCACACAACAAAGGGCGCGGTGGGTTTGGGGAGGCCGGAGGTTTGGTCGCAGAGAGTCTACGTGCCAAAGGGCAGTGTGGTCCGTGGTAAAGTGCAGCTCTGAAACCAGACTGCTAGTGTTTTGAGCCCCGAGTCTCTCAACTCATCAGCTGTGTGACCCTGGGCAAGCTACTTAGCCTGTCTGTGTCTCACAGGCTTAATAGGAGTCAGGGTCAATGGAAGCCTTCGAAGAGGGTGTGGCGTTCAGCGTTAGCCACAGTTAGAGACTTCAGTGCCCACTACTTGTGGGCCTACCAACCAGCAAGTTTTCCTCACCTCCAGCCTCTGTGGAGGTGTCCCTCCCCTGGGCCTGCCGTCCTTCCCCTGCTTCTCTGATCACCTCCCCCCAGCTTCCCAGGCTGGGTCAGGGCCCTGTGATGGTCTCGTCCTTATCCCTGCCTGGCCCCTTCCCCCAACCGTGAGCCCCTTGAGGGTCGAGCCTGGGTCACTGCTCTGTCCTCAGCACTGGGTTCAGGGCCTGACGTGTAGCAGTTGCTCGAATGACATTTACTGAATGTGGGGGGCAACGGAGACTGAAACCTCCCCCACCCCCCCACGAATACAGGTTTCTCAACTGTAAGCACAACCTCCGTGTTAGACCTCAACACCCAGAAAAGCAAGAAACCAGGCTAGCAAAACAGATCGGTCATTATTGTGCAACTGCAAGCGGCAGATGGCTCCGGGGCGGGGACAGGATTGCCCAATACTTGGGGGAAGAGGGGGGGGCTCTCTTCTGAATGGGCTCTGGGGACTCAAGGCTCAGGGAGCTAGGCGCAGCATGCGCCCCGGGCGCCCTCCTCCTCCTGCTCCTGGCGCTTTGGGAGCCCGCAGGAGTGAGGAATGTGTGTGTGGAGCGGGTGGGAACAGGCGGGGGACGGAGGACTGGTCCCAGATGCCGGGATGATCACAATAGCTCCCGCCCGCTGGCTGTTTTGTTGACTTTGGACAGGCCTTCCCGGAACCCAGAATTGGTCATTCTAGAGGCAGATAACCAGGAGGCGGCTCAGGAGTTGAGGGGGACTAGGCCCCGCCCCCGATGGCCCTCAAATCAACTCCTAGAGCTCCCCGGCCCCGCCCCC